GATTAATGAAGCACATTTGTTGTAGGATTGGCTCCCTCAAAGGAAGAGTGGGTACCAAGGTAGTCTACAACTTCAAGACACTCATCAGCGAGCCAGCCCAAGTTCTCCTACCCAATCCCTCCATCACCACAGTCCAAGTTAAAAGGAACATTCACTTCTTCTTGCTGAAGGAAGAGCTGTACAATGTCCAAACTGATCCACCAATCCTCACATACAAGCAAGCTTGCAGAGAAGAAGCCTCCAAGGGAAAGAAAGCAACCGCTGAAGATGCTACCACAAGTGCAGCTGGTGCTCAAGATGATGATCTGCCCCCACCTCAAAAACGTCTTGGTGGAAACAGATATCACTTTGATGATTACAACTGGGAGGAACCAGGCACTTCAGGGTTCAGAGCTCAACAGAAGATTGGTATTCTCCAACAATGGTGCAAGTACCAAGACAAAACCATCCACAAGATGGCCAAATGCATCAAGGAGATGAAGAAGAGGATCAAGAAGCTTGAAAACCCTTGCAAAGGTGGAGCTCCAGCACCGGTTTCACCAAGGAACAGAGAGGAAGTTGGGGAGAGTTCCATGAACTGCACAGCCTTGGTCACATATGGAACCACTTGGGTAGATCTTGACGACGGGAGTGATGAAGCCAGCCACCATTCTTGGGAAACACCGTCAGGCCACACATCGAACCCCTCATACTCATTGGGGTCTGATTTCAACAGCCACTAGGTAACACTCAAAACCTTGTAAATAGCATGTAGACTTTCTTTTTCTTTTGCATTTTGCCTGTTTGTTTTTGTTTCACTTCTTTCTCATACTTTTATAACACAAGGGACTGTGTTATTTAAGTGTGGGGGAGGAGTTTTATCCTTTACTAATCATGTTTTCTATTTTCTCATTTTACACTTTGAGTCTTGAGTCACATTTTAGTTGCATATTCATGTAGTCTCATCTAAGTGCATATAAAAACCAAAAAAAAAAAAAAAAATGGAAAAATCTGAAAAATTTTACACAAAAAAAAAAAATGATCATGTAGTTGCATTCTCATTTTTTAGGATTGAGTCTAGATTACATTTGCATATAGGTTGCATCTTGCAAGGAGTAATGATAGGTTTTCTAGGGAGTACATCACTTTGAGAACTTGAATTGAATATGCTTGTGAATCTTTTTCTATGCTTGCAAAGTCTGAAATGATTTGAATCTGAGAAGCAAGTTTGAATTGAACTCAACTCTAATTAAGTGGGAACCTTGAACTTGACTTGAAAATATCTTGTGATGCACTGTTTGAAAAAGCTTGTGGATACCAATATACATACTTGAGCTAGAACCACTGTTTTTACCACTCTTTTCCTTAGCTCAAGTAGCTGAATCCACATCATGGATCAGTTCCCATACCTTGAACCCATCCTTCTTTTAAGCCAATGTTTGTGTGTGAATTGAAAGGCCACCTTGGATCAAACTTAGCAGAAAGTGTTAGGTTTAGAGCGACAAGGGCAGGTCTCATTGAGTGCTGTGTTCCAACATCAAGGAACTGAGAGTTTTGGCAAGGAATAAGTGTGGGGGAAAAGACCTTTTGGTGAGTAGAAAAAGGTGAGATGAGTGGAAAAGAGAGAGTGAAAATAGCTAGGGGAATGAAAGAAAAAGAAATCAGTCTTGGTGTTTTGAGAGAGTGAGCTCTGGTTTGTTGAAAAGAAAGAGTCTAGCCTCTAAGTAAAAAAAAAAAGGAAGAAAAGAAGCCAAAGGCTCAAATGTTTTGTTAAGAAAGAAAGAAGAGGCTAGAAGTTGTAAAAGAAAAAGAGCTGTGTAAAGTTTGAGTTCCAAGACTTGACAGGAAAAGTGAAAAGTGAATCCCCTAGTGAGAGGAAAATGAGAGTGAAAAGTGAGGATTTTTGAGCAAGTGAGGAAGCTTTGAGTAGAGGGTGGGGTGTGATGAGTCTTTGCCCTTGTATGCATAGGTTGCTTTTTACCTTTAGCATTCTGCCAAAGTTTGATCATTCATAGAGAGATCCCTTTGCTGCATTTAACCCACTTGAACACTGATGAGATCATTTTAATCTCATAGCCTCTCCCTAGCCAAGCCAGCTTGTTTAAACCTTGCATCATGAGATCCACCTGATAAAAGCTTAATGAATGTGAAAGAGTTGAGAGAGAGGTGAACTTGTGGAGATTCCTTGCTGAGTTGATATATATCTGAGTATGACTTTGCATTGCATAATTGAGCATGAACTTGAATTCTCATTGTGATCACTTCTCTCAAAAAGAAAATGTGAACTCCCATTGCATACAACCTCTTTCTCTCATTTGCTCTTTTTGCTTGAGGACAAGCAAAGGACAAGTGTGAAGGAGTTGATATGTTCATAATTTGCATCATTTAGGTTGCATAAATCATTCCAAATCATGTTTTATTTCATGCATTTTAGGTTCTTAGGGTTTGTTTTAGGACTTAGGAGAATGCATTAGGTCCCAATGAGTCTTTGCATGTTTTGAGTGTCTATCAGGTGAATATGGAGCTGAAAAGACGAATCCAGGAGGTGGAATGGTGAGCAAAGCTTGAAAAAGTGGAAAACTTGGGTTTATGGAGGTTATCGGCCATTCTCGCTGGCCAGGAAGGTTTTGTCGACCATTTTCACGTACCGCGGGTGAACTTTGTCGACCAAAACACGTACCGCGAGTGAAGTGTATCGGCCAAAATCTCTGGGTATGAACGTGTCTCAGAAATCGCCTGTCCGGGGAGCCTTCCGGTCCGATTCAGACGGCGGGTGCTTCATAGAAGTTGGAGAGCATTGCATCACGGTCTCGTAGCAAGTGGAATCGTGGAATTCGGACGCGTGAGCAGAGAGATAAGCTTGTCGGAAGGAACCCCAGTCTCGCAGGTATTCCGGACCGAGCAGATCAGTCCTAAAGGATGCGAAGGACGGTGCACGTCCAGGCCGATTTAGTTTCTGGGTCCTTCATGAGAACCAGAGACATTTGAGTCTTCTTTCCAGAACGTCCAAGATCATTCAATTCGGATCTATGAGCAGAAAGATACGGTCTCCAGGAAGCCTTACACTTCCCAAGCACCGAAGCTTCCTTCACCAAAGTTGGAGATAAATGAGTCCTCTGTCTTCTGCAACTGAAATCATTCAATTCGGACAAGCCTCATAGGAGTTACACTCTCCGGAATGCGAAGTGGTCTAAGCTGCTCTGGATGCTGCGAGACGGTCTTGCGACTTGGTTAGCCCGCAGGCCTGAAGATGAACGCCTGAATGCTGATGCTGCGAGTTGATATGTGCGGTTAAACTATCACTGGAAGAGGTCTGAAGCTCAAGAGCAAGAGAAATGCTAAGTCCACAATCCTGCGACTTAGGCATGCGAGTTAGCCGCGCCTGGAACTATGCCGCACGATCACTCGCAAATCACTCCGACTTGAGCCTGCGACCTAGTTGCAATAGAGACTAACCCGCACAGTTTGTACATTCCCCAGAAACCGCCTTAGCCCTGCGAGTTGGAGAGGAAGGAGACCAAGCCGCAGCAACACTCGCAAAACACTCCTACTTAGGCGTGCGGCTAAGGCAAGGCGATTCAGGCTCCACAAGACAAGTCTTCATCTGCTGCGACTTAGGTGTGCGACCTGGGACATACTGGACTGACCCGCAGTAATTCTCACTTTATCCACTAAAGCCGGGTCAGGACCCGGTTTGTTCCGGGCTGACCCGGTTCGTTTTTAAGAAAGTATAAATACTTTTTAGGGTTTTTTGGGGAGAACTAAGTTTTATTCCCTTTGTCTCTTGCCTCTTTGGTGAAAAAGACTCCATTAAGAAGAGAAATATCTATATTTTAGTGTTTAATCAAGAGAGTTTAAGGAGATCTGGGTGTTTAAAGCTGTTTTCTTTTGAATCTATCATCTCCATCTCCATTTTCTCATCATTAATCATGCTAATCTTCTCAACTTGCAAAGGTTTAAGAGAGATTAGTATGACTAGTGAGTAGTCACCTTAATGAGGTTCTAGATATGTAGGTTAGGGTGCTAAAGTGTTAGATTAGGAGTGCTTAGGGCTAGATTCATTGATTCATTTCTCTAAACAACTGTTCTCTATGCTAGATCCTTGATAATCACTTGAGATCTAGATTCTGGGAATTTCATGCACCAAAAGTGTTTGATGAAATTCCTGAAAGAGTTGTATTAGAGGTTTAAACATTTTTCTGCATGATGATGTATTGTTATTTGCTTGAATGATCATTAAGAGCTGTTTGTTAATGCATATTGATTCATGTTTCACAAATGGGAATTTGGTTTGAAAATGGATTAGTATAGGGGTTAATACCTTCATGAGAGGATTAACCTAGATTAGAGTTCTTAATCACTTGAATCATGTCTCATCATTGTCTTCAGCATCTCTAGTTTAACACCAAAGCACCCTGACCAACTATCATGTCTAGAATCTCATGCCTCCATCATATCATATTCACATCATATCATTTGTCATTGTCATTAGTCTTTAATCCTGTTTATGTTTATAGTTTTCTCTAGATTAATCAAAACCCACTCTTGTTTGCTTGAATTAAGAACTTGATCATATAGCTTAGTGTCTAACACTACATCTGGATTGATAAACCTCTTTGTGCTACATTGACAAGGGGATTGATAGCCCTGAGACCCTAAAAAGTCTTGTCTATCAGTGATGACACCTTGTAAAAAGTTTTGCAATCGGTGATCATGAAGTTTTTCATCTTATACATTGAGTTTGCCTTCAACGCCTCTTTGTAGCGGAATAATCGGTTGGCCGATATGAATCCCTGCATCGTTGTTGACTGTACAAAGTTGATTAGATATGACAAAACTTTTTCAAAATGAATCTCTATTTAAAGTATATATTTTGCATACCTTGGTGTCGATCAGGAGCATTTCTACACCCATAAGTATGTTGCCTTTTTTGAAATTCCGAGACTCCCAAAAATGAATCAGCCTGACCAAAACTTCATCCTTACAGAAATCACCTTCAAGGTCATCAAACGTTTTTATGGAGAGTGGTTTCAGAGTAGAAGTTGTAGCGTTTGGCGCCATTCTCTTTGTTTAGAAGCTATTTGTGAGGTAGATAGTATGGTGGTTGGGTTGTGAGAACTGATTTTTTATAGTCATCTTTGATAGGAGGTTTGATTGTGAAAGTAGTGGTCATTTATTTAGCCTGAATTGAAAGCTCTTGTAACTGTGAGGGATGTCAATCGATTTGTTTTCTGTGTAACAGAGATGGTGAAGCTGCGATGGTATGAGGGGTGGAGACGATTTAGGTTTTAATTCTTATTTGGGCTTTTCTGGTGTTGTGTATTCTGTGTTAATACTAAATGGGCTAACATTGGTGTGTATTTTGACAATAACTGTAAGGTCTATCTGTAATCCTGTTATTTTTATTGTACCCATTTTTTTGGGGGTTTGATTACATAGACATAATGAGTTTGTTTTCTTTGTCCTTATTTTTTTGCTGGGTATGTTTGGTTTGGGCTTATCTGTAGTCTTGTTTTTTAAATTATACCCATTATATTATTTTTTTTTGTTACGTAGACAAGATTGGTTTGTTTTTTTCAATTCGTTTTTTAAGGGAGTATATGAGATTTTTTCAAATGACTTTTTTCCTTATTGAACATTAGTGGGAAAGTAGATCTGCCACGGAAAAGAGTATCGGTATTATTTTTTATGGGTGAACTAAATCCTCGCATCTATTGCCGGATTGTAGTCATCACTGTCTTCTTCTGAGAGATGCCAAGGTGTAATCGAAGTAAAATCTTGACGCTGGAGTTGTATGAAGCTGTAGTTTCCCTGCATTGTTTTTTTTTTAGTTAGTGGATTTCGGGTCTTATTTGGTTAATTGATTAAGCGATTATTTGAGTTCATTTTAATGGACCTTTGTATATTTTGGGTCGATGCTTGTGACCAGCATAGTTGAGTGTCTCCGATCTTTGATGCATAAACGCTGCCTGTTCATCCCATATTAAGACTTTGATGATGGTGTTTCTGTGAAAAATTAGGTAAATTTGTAAGTCATTTGGGGGTTTTATTCATTATTTTGGTAATTAATTATGTTGTGCGTACCTGGTGATTTCGAGGCCTACCCAAACCTTTGTTTTGGAGTTTGGGTGTTTGAGATTTATGCCTTGTACAATGCGTATCTTGCCGATGGCATCTGCAATAAATTGTTGTTAGTTTGGAGAATTTATATTGGGTAACTAATTTGATAGTGAAGGTATAATACGAACCTGGTAGCTCAATGTTTGTGCCTCCTAAACTTTGTAGGCTGTTGTAGTTCTTTAGCCAGAATTTGTTGGTAGGTATCGTGGGTAAGTTTGCAGTCAGTACAATAATAATAGTTTTTTTTTGTCAGCCGAATGACATATTGATGTGGAGTGAGTTTGAACCTTTGGTTATTTGAACGGACTATGAATTGGGAGACTCCATATATTCCTCCTTTCCTTAAGTAATTCTTGTTTTGCTCTGCAAAGGAATAATGCATGGTAGCCTCGATTATTTCACCCTGTTTGTGATCATGATTTACGTTAGTGGTAGATAAGCTAAGGCTGATAATTTAAGGAGAAGATGTATTCATTTACGTCTAAAAGAAGGAGTGTGGTCCCCATTTTCATCTCTTTGTTTGTGTGGTGATGTGTTTCCCACAGACGATTGATACGTACGCTGAGTGTGACGCTTGAGGGGCCCATCCGTAAGGTTCTTAAATCAAAGTATGTTGTAGGTATAGGTCTGTACAGTGTTCATGGGAAGAGGTTTTAATATGTATCATTTTAAACCGGGAGACAGTAGTATATAATTTTGTTTTTGTGAGATGCGAGATGCGAGATCCTTTTTTTACCTCTTTGTATGTCGTTCTTATGATGTATTGGGAGATCAACGTTCCTGAAGCTGGAGATGGGCATCCCTTTTCCTGGAATTTTTTTGCTGATGTCAGTCTTTTAAATTCTTCTGCTTGTGTTTTTGGTTGATGAGCGTTTGCTTTTTTTATGTCTTCGTGTTATGTCAAGCTGTTATTACGTGAGTTTAGGAGCCGATCTCTGTAATTGTTTCTAATTGATTTGGTTTTTTAAAAGGGAGGCAAATATTAGGTTTTTGTTGTGAATAAAACAGAAAGAGAAGAGAAGAGAGGAATTGTTGTGTCTTATTCCATAAATAATGATAGGTATTTATAGTATTACAAAGACTTGGGAGAAAGCTAAAAACTAGAGAATAAGTAAATAAAGAATATTTTAAACCTCCTTATGATATGGGCTTTATAATGGGCATCCATAATATTAATTCATAACACTCCCCATTGGATGTCCATTATAATGTAATAGTAGTAAAACGCCTAAAATACTGCCTCATTAAAAACCTAACTAGTAAAACCCAATGGAAAAAACCATAGTTAAGGGAAAAAGAGTGTAATGCGCTATTACTCCTCCTCATGGGTACATCATTTGAAATGCTTGAGAAAAACGTGATCCAATATGCTGAACAATCTTATTGAATATAGCAGTTGGAGACGTCTTGGTACATAAGACCGTCAAATCTTCACTTGATCGAATTTGTAGTAAATGTATATTACCATTGTGTTTTCAGCTGTCTTGTTAAAACCTTGTCATAGAAAAATCTAATAAGATAAAAACTATGATAAGGAAAAAAAGTACAACTATCATATATCTCCCTATGGAAGTATCTTCTTCAGGAGATGGATACCAATCACATATATCATCTTTAGAGAATCATAAATTTTGTTATTGCACTCATATGATTTTAACATTTTTCCAATTTATTGGAACTTATTATTCTAGTCCATAACACCATTCTCACATGAAATATTTTCTTCGTATAGTGTTCTTCAAGAACAAGAATTTATTACTCTTAGCAATTTAAATTCTTCTTGCTTGCTTCTGGCAGTTTAAATTCTCTTTAGACTAAATCAAGTCACTTTTTATTATCAAACTCATAAAGGATCTGAAAATAAATGCATCCACCACTGGAAAGAATATCATTTCAGATATCATTTTCATTTATCTTTTGTATAAAGATCCATTTATGTCTTACTAGTTTTACACTTTCAAGTCTAGGGACTACTGGTCCAAATAATTAGCTGCAAGAGATTCTAACTTTGTTTTTACGGCTTTTCTATGATTGGCCAATGATCACTTTACATATGTTTTTCAAAACATCTTCTTATATATACCGCAGTTTCTGATCCTCAATTCTCATCATCAACTGCTTTACTGCATGCAAAAATATTATCGACGTCGATTTGCTTTTGATTCCATTCATTTAAGACATGACTCAACTAGTTGAAATTTCTTATCATTACTAGGTACCTAGATTTCTTTCTTAATTTGTCTATGTCTCTTCTAGAGATTGCTTCCTCGGTCTTGCCATTTTATATGTTCCTTTTTCTTTTCCGAGGATTCTATATATGGAACCATTAGGTCAATCACGCTTCATGCGATCTTTAGCCTCAATAGCAGTTGATATTGTCCATTTGGGACATCAATATTAATTCGAGCACAGCTGGTATCACTCAACAAGGGTCAGGAAACGCTTCTGACATAACTTTTCAAATAAATTATCTTTTAACTTTTCATGCACATCTTTAATGAGGATCAAGATAATTTTTAGTCACTGATTTTCCAACTGTTTATTTTCTTCTCCCCTTATAATTGTTGGAAAAACTAACTCACTGAAATGACAGTCTGTAAATCAAACCATATTAAGGAAGATTTATATCCAACAGTTCTTAACCTCCTTTGAGGTTCCATCTAAGATCAATTTGGTGGAGCAACATTATATCCAAAACTTTAAGATGGGAAATATCTTGTTCCTGGCCAAAACCAATCTTGGGAAGATTATTTGTTGGATTAATGTGAATTAATGTGGTTTTACTCTAATCAATTAACCAAATACTTTCGCAAAATATAATGGATGATCAGTCCAAAATATATCTTGTATAAGTACCAGAAAATCAATAATTCCAAATTTATTGGAGAGTGAAAACCGAACACATAAAAATCTTCTGGATCTTATTCGCATTATTATTTAACTGGAATGACTTAACCAGTTATGCCAAAACAGTGAGATTTTAGTAAACTTCTGGTTTACAATATGCATTTATATCTTATATGCTAGTGTAATACAATCCAATAGAGAATGAAGTAATTTCTCAAAAATAATTCTACTGCCTTGGGTAATACTCATAATGTGAAGATATTCAACATTTTCTTCACTTGTTGTCTCAACTTGATAAATCTTAAAATCTTTTAGATTTTTTTTACACATGATTTATCAAACATGAGTGTGAGCATTATCTTCTGGATGTTCCACTTACTATGAATGGTGAGATTCTTCAATTCTCCCCCTCGAGATGATGACACTTCAAATTCATTCATCTTGAATTGAATCTCATTATAGAATCAACAACATAGCTAACTTGAGTCATGTATTTTATCTTAGATTCCCAATCTTTTGAGACTTGGGGCAGTATAATCCATCAATGATTTCAAATCATTCTTATAGACAATCATATATGTTCTTCTAAAGCATTCAATATTCTTTGTACAATCTCATATTATATTCACACTAGCTTATATGTCGTCTTCTTTATTTTCTCACTATTGAGTTCTTCAAATAAAATCTTTAGCCTCGAGTTTAAACTTGACCATATCCAGATCTATATCCATTTTCACGTTTACAACCAATTCTATACCCACTTCTTAGGCCAGAGTTATTTGGAGTGGTCTAGTATATGATGTCATACATTCACTTTAAGGAATGGACCATAGCTCATTGGATGTGACTCATAATTTTATAATCCATAACTCATTGGTTTTCTCTTACAGACTCCAAGTCATGTAATTTTATATTAACCAATCTCAAACATATCACATTCTGGTGATTATATATTTCTTTTAGATTGCTCTAAAAAATAATTGTGGATTTTTCGAATCAAATACTCAATCTTAAGATTACCCAAGAAATGATGACATATAAACATAATTATGAAATTATAATATAAACAAAATAATAATCACATATAATATCTCAATCAATCATCACATCTTATTTTGTTTCTATTATTTTATTAATCTAGGTTTCAATCATTTAAGATACGAGAGCAAAATTCATTTAGAAATTCAGATAAAAATAAAATATTCAATTTTCAGTTTTAGCTATTGACATTTACGTTATCATGAATTATATGGAAACTAGAAACCTAAGTGCTGAAATATAATAATCGATTATTAGACATGACACTGGTTCAATAAATGACAATAAACTCAACGAATTAAATATGATTTAATAGCTATGCCATAAGGCCAATAATTCTTTTATCATGGTGAACATTTCTTTTATAAACAATTACTACCATCTTCTATGCCAGAAATTATTACTGGTATAAACAAAGTAATATAAATGAGAAACCATCGAAAAAAAAATTATAATAATAATTTTGGTATCCAATATGCAAAGAAGAAATTTATAATAATAATATTAATTGGATTATCATCTTCTATATAATTATTTATAAGTATATGACGTGAATCAAAGCACTAAGATTTTAGATGTGTCGATCATGTGTATTAGAAACATGATTAAATAATATGAAGCAATCTAAAATAGTTTTCATCTATTCCCTATGATTTGCAAAATAATTAGGTTAAACAAATCATGTTTAGTCAAAATCCTAATTGATTTTAAAAACACGTTTGTTTTATAAATCAAAATATGTGTATTTAACATAATTATTGCTCATAATAAAGTAAGATATGTGTTTTACAGATTTGCTGAATTGAGACGAAAGAGAGGAAGAGAGAAGTTGATATCACTTTGTATTATTGTTGTTGCATTCACTTAACTTACATCTAAACTTGTACAAAGGGTAGTGACATATATATATAGGGGGGAAGAGAAACCTGACTTTAATAAAGTCGGTGTTTATGTGGATAATTATCCACTCTTTAACACTTCTTCTTAATTATCTATCACTAATAATGTATTACGTATTGCCTCGTTAAAATTTTATTATGGACAAAACCTATTGGATTAAAAACCATGACAAGGAAAAAAGAGTACAGTAACGTAATCTCCCTCTTAGAAATGATGGATACGAATTTTTTCATAGATCTCGTAGTCGGCGCATTCCAATGCTTTGTACGTATTTTCTGAATGATGTAGTGGGAATCGACTTTGTAAAGAGATCTGCTGCATTGTCATTTGAGCAAACATATTGGATATCCACTTCTTGATTATTCTCGAGTTCTTGAGTGTAAAAGAAAAACTTTGGAGGAATATGTTTTGTTCTGTCGCTTTTGATGAAACCTTCTTTGGGTTGAGCAACACATGCAGTATTATCTTCAAATATTTTTGTTGGTTCCATATCGATGACTATTCCACTTGCACCTTGTATATGTTGATTCATAGATCGGAGCCATATGCATTTTCTACATGCTTCATGGAGAGCAATGATTTCTGCACAATTAGAAGAAGTGCAACCAAAGTCTGTTTTTGGGAACGCCACGAGATCGCCGTTCCACCAATTGTGAAAACATATCCAGTTT